TGTATATATATATATATATATACATATAATATTATAATCATTTTGATAAGCACATTTACAAACAATTATTTAAGCTGTGTTTTTAATTTATGTCCTTCTTATTATGAAAATAAATTTATAATTTTTCAAATCTGAAATTATTTTCCTTAACATATAGATATAATGACCATTAGTATTAATAATCCAGTAATAAGCAATTATACTGGTAACATTTATCCCACAGTTCTACAGATCAAGAACACCTCTATCAAATACTGAAGCACATTATTTAGGTTTAGATTTTAAGATAATTAATAATTATTGTAATATTAATATTTATGATAAAAGAAATTATTTCACATTTCAAGTTTTTGGACTTCTCTGTCCAAATAGTACTGTACCAACAAATGTCATACAGATTATTATACATTCAAAGCTTCTTAGGTATTGCAAAATTTGTAGCAATGTACAGTTATTGATATCTAATACTAATATATTAGTACATAAAGTGGTTTTTAATGGCTTTGATAAGAATTATTTTATAATAAACATACAAAAGATACTGTAGACATTATTCACTCAAACTACAAACCCCTATTTTGGTTCGATGCTGTTACCTAGAATTACATTTTGTTGAGTCAAAAATGTAATGTATAGAATCAATATATGTGTTGAAAGGAAGATTTGGAAATTTAAAATATCAGAAATGATGCTTTACTGGTTAGAGCTTAGGGCAAACAAATACAACACTGTTATGAGATCACAACTAACCACTGGCAAACATTCATATTATAGTTACTATTGCAATCCCCATTACGTGACTTGAAAGACAGCACCATTTAATGCAAAATTTGTTGAGAAATAAAGTCCCCAGTAGGTGTTTACCTACAATTTGTAGTTCCCTTTTTAAAGGCATTTTCTTTTTTTTAAAAATTAAAGCATTATGTATCTTTCAAATTTATTATGTGACCTTTTAACAGCATTTAATGGTGAACTAGGAGTTGAAGATTATGTAAACATTCATTTAATATTTTATTACACAAACCTTGTTCAATAGCTGTAAACTTATTCTTATGCAAAGTTCATCCTTACAAAAAAAAAAAAAAAAAAAGAAGTTTGCATATTCAAGTTCCAGTAAGTACTTTCTTTAATTATTCTAACTTTGGGGTATTTTTTTAGTTCAATTTTAGCTCTGTTTTTCAAAGATAATAAGGAAATTTTAGCGATATTGACCAGCAACATGTTTAAACAAGTTTTAAAATTGATTTTTAAATGTATCAATTATAAAAATTTCTTAATTTTTTTGCAAAATGTTTTTTATTGCCTTCCCAGGGTATTTTTTAGGGTTAGTCATGCAAAGGCAAACAATCCTAGACAGCGTGATGTGCTCTGGATTGAGCAAAATGTGTCATTGGCAATGGATACAGCAAATATAGTGTGATTGGAATACTATTACTATACACTCTTCTAATTCTTGAAAACACTAAGGTACTAAATATAGAGTATAATGCTAAATATATAATAAGACTAATACTAATCAGACATAGGGAAAGAAACAATAACACCTAGTTATAGATAACAGTGTGGGAAATTAAGATGAATCTTCAGTTTTATGATATATGCCAAGGAAGGACCTACAAAGCGGTATGAATAAATCAGCTACCACATTTAACCTCAACTTACATGCCTTACCTGTTACAAAAATGCAGATGTGAGCACTCAAGCCCACAATGTCTCATATCTACACCGCCCTTAAATGTCTACAGCCAGATGTGAGAAGGTGATTGCTTAGAAAGAAAGAAAAGTGAAAAAAAGAAGAAAAATGAAAGAAAAAAAGAATGAAAACAGAAAGTTAATAAAATGGACCACTGGGGATGGTAAGTAAAACATGTCTGCTGAAGTAGTGCTTTCCAGCTCTTCAAATGGCTTACATTTATAACTAACATAGCTCAAGTACACTATTCATTACTTGTAAAACTCTCACACTTTTTCCCCCTTAGTAAGACAAGTAAATGAAAAAGCCTGAACACTTTTCTGAATTTGGTTCTTTTTTTTTTAGCTGGATATTTTAAACTTTTCTAGAATTGCCCAAAAAATGTTTTTATTTAATAAATTTCTTTGTTTTGTTTATTTGTCCTAGATAAACCACTAATCTGGACTAACCTGTTTTCACCCCTGGTAAATCTGTCTTTCATTGTTTTATAGAAAAAAACTTTTTTTTTTGAGAAATCCACAATAACAGCAGCACTGTTCTCTTTTAAGAAAATGCATAAGGAATGCAAGTTTTATGATATATTTTGTATCAGATTGTGTGCCTATAGAAAGCAGTAAACAAACCTGTACTCTTCATATACTTCTTGCTTTGGTAAAGAAACATCTGGATCCTCCTCTAGGTGAGTTTTAATCCAAGTAAAAGTCTGTGCAACTTCAACTTCTGCTTTCTTGCCTAGTGGATTTCCAGGGTTTTTTCTTCAAAGGAAAGAAGAATGATCGAAATTTAATACATCTAAAAATAAAAGTATTCATGAAAAAAAAAAAAATAATATATATATATATATATATATATAATATTTCAAAGAATTTTTCATTATATACAAGCAGTAAATACATCCAAAATAAAAAGCAAAATATAAATTTTACATAGAAATAACAATATCTGTGACAATCTTATGACCTTGGTTGGTAATTCTATACACAATGAAAGACTTTACTGTACAAGAATACATCAAATGTATATAACATAGATTATTAACTGACATTGATTATAATTCACAGATCACTTATCATAGATGAGGCACTTATTATAACATACACAAGTAGGCTAGTGTGACAAAACTTCATTATCTATCACAGAATTTTTGTAACTTTCAAATGATTAAACAGCATCTCATGACAAACCTATTTCTTGAAACTTTAAACTTCATAACTTGGCTATATTTTCATTTACTTTTCTTTGTAGCTTTAAATTTTAAAAGTATAAGGACTGACATAAACAAAAGACTTCTGTCTATTATAACTCCTCCAAAAAACAAATACAACTTTAATTGTTATTTTGTAACTTTTGAATAGTTACAGCTCTAGTTGTCTAAACATCCTAAATTATTTGAACTTAAATAAGTGGAATTATTTTGGCATATCCTAATAATTATAATGTGGAACATATTTTATAAGACTTGAAATTTTACTTTAACAGAAAAAATATAATAATGTTAAAAGTGAACATAATAAATCTATACAAGTATAATAGTACTGTCTTTTGTCTGTCCAAGTAACTACTTCGCAGGTTGTGGATGAATCTTCACCAAAATTGGTATGGAGGTTCATTAGGTCCATGCAGGGGTACATACAAATTTTCAGTTTTGAATTTTGCAGGGTTTTTTATGGGTGTTTTTTTACCACTACTTTGCTCCCTGAAGATGGATCTTACCAAATATGGTATGGAGGTTCATTGGGTCCATAGGGAGATACACACAAATTTTCTGTTTTCCCATTTTCTGGTTTTTATAGACATTTTTTACCACTACTTGTCCCCCTGTTGATGGATCTTCACCAAATTTGGCATGAAAGTTTGTTGGATCCATGCAGAGATACATGTAAACTTGTAGTTTCACATTTTATGTTTTGCAGTTTTTATGGGCATTTTTGCATTTTTTACAATC